ACCTGCTCACTTGACTTGAAGAATATTTTGTGTCAAAGGCGAAACGTTGCCGAAATAAAAAGGACCGATTTTTTGCCGAACCTTTCTGAAACGTATAAGATCTCGCTTAACCTGAAATGCGCTCACGTTTATGGTGATTCATGCCATCTCACCTTAGAAGCCAGTGTATTCTGATAAGTAAACAAATGATTAAATTATCAATTTACTGTGAATTTTTTTGAAGGATAAGCTTTCCAATTTTGAATTTTCTAACGGGATGGGGAAATGAGGAAAAGTGATCTTTGCGCGGCTTCTTACATGAAGCATAAATGTGGACTTCGGTTGGAAACATTCCTGTCAAAAAACAAATCTTGTCCATATTCACAAAGTTTCGTGATTCATCTCATCACCGAAGTTTATCAAGTCACCGTACTTTGTCTACCGTTTCACTGTCGAACCAATGTATAATGTACGGGGCAGGATAGAGGATGACGTCAAATGGTACAAAGCTGATGCAACTTTAAGGGGAGTTCGAGATACGAATAAAAACTCTGATTTCACAAGTAAGCTTTTGTGTATATTTCGTTACCACGCTGCACTGTGATGTTTCAAAAAGAGGGCTGAAACAAAAGCGTCAAAAGGAGCGCACCTTCAGCGGTGCGATACTAATGCCACGCCACATGAAAAAAATCAGCACATATAAGGCTCTTTAGGATAATTTATCTGGCCGCAGTCACATATGTAGTTACGGAAATTTTGGAAAACTTGCGCTCGTCTGAATTTGAATACCCAAATTGATCCATTTATTCGCCTACTCAAGCATTGTAAGTAGTTTACAATGATTCAGTTGAAGTTTCGTTACCCAGGCAACAAATGCAAGCTCTCATTAAATTTGCGGAACGGTAAATCCACCTCCAGAGACAAGCTCTCTCACATAAACATGCAGTCTCCTCCAGGAAGGCTGCAAAAATCACACAAATAAATGCCACGATAGTCCCGATATCTGGGTGAGCTGTAAACACGACCGACTCGTAGTTATGAGACCCTGGTTTGAACATAGAGATTTTGTGTGTAGAGTTTTGTAAATTGCTTTTGTTCGTAGCCCTAGAACCTCTCGCAATGGTCGCAGATTTTCACAAGTCTCCTCTGAGACTAACTGAAGTTGGAGACTCCGCAAGGTATGGTTGGCAACCGATTTCACTCGCGTTCATGTTTGCCTCTCTCCGGGAACCAGTTTAAACTTCATCTCATCCGTAGATAATTGCTTCCTGAATTCGCAATTGGCTTGAAATCTCAGGATGATTAAGTGGGTGAGGCCCGAAATCACTGACTGCATTTCGAATCCAGCATTTTTTGTGCCTTTTTATGCGAACATTTCAAGGCTGTGTTTTAAATAATCTGTTGCATTTTATTAGACGAAATCCTCCACTAGATCAGTAAGTATGTAGTTTCATTCGATTTTAAGCCAGTGGAGGAACCACTCCGTGAGATTCCTCATGATTTGCGGACTTAATCAGTGCTGGGTGTTTAGTCTGCTGTTTCTGTTTTTTGGTTGGTGGGGATGACCAACATCTACGGTAGACTGATTAGGGGGTAGGATTTTACTTCATCATGAGTCTGGATTTTTCCTCCCTGCCTTTTCACTCATGGACAACTTAACGCAGAATTCCTCTTCAGTCATTCACAGATTTCGTTTGCCCCTGTTCATCAATAGTTGCGGGATCATTGCTTTGGGAAGAAGGCGAGGTGGTGGTAAACTGGATCTAACTATGGTTCAATTTTGTACATTTAAACACTGATTCCTGCAAAGAGCATCGTGTCATCTAGGCTAAACTAAGACAGCACTCCACACGTTTGCAAGTTCTACCCATGCCATTCTATTCACGCTGGGATCCCCTTGGGGATGTCCTCCACCTCGATCACTAGTCGCTGTTGTGTGAATCCTAAACCCCGTCTCAGGATTTCCACATTTCCTTAATCATTCCTAGCCCAGTATCTGGTGCATATTCTATCATTGCCAAGTCTTTGACTATCGCCTAGTGTTCATCTTTGTTTCTCGGCTGTCATATAAAGGAACGCTTATGCTCTGATGCGCAATTCCCTGGCTGTCGACAAACCTATATTAACCTTCGTACAGTCGTTACATTTTATTTTGTACACACAGTTCCTAGTCCTATCAATCGGATGCCAATCCTTAGAACGCACCAACACTGAACGTAACGTTTTTCCCTTCTGGAATGCTGCACTGGTGTTGGCCGTATTCAGAAGACCTTAAGTGACTTAAGATGTCCCTGTTTTGTATTGAATGGCCGGTGTTTAGCGAACCTTGTGTGTAGTTTCTTTTATGAAAATCTACTGCAATATCTCGAGTATCGTGCCAACTGAAACATGAGGCGGCCTGGGTGCACCACGTTCATTTAAAGAAATATCATATCAGTAGAGTTTCTCGTGAAATCCTAACTGATCCCCAAATGAGTGTATTTCTCGAAAACAGTCAATTAAGTTAAAGTAAGGTAAAGGTACACAGTGCAAGGACAACCAAGTACGGATGTTTGAGAATTTGCTTCCTTCGACTTGCTTATCTGGTAACACCAAAGATGAGAGTAGGTCATCTATTAGCTGTTTAAGCGTAGCAAATTTGTCAGATGGACTTTCAGGTGAAGAGGAACATCGTCTAAAATGGCCACTGGTAGTTGGGTCTTGATACTGCCAACGATACCAGTCTTAGTTGCTGCTTCCCTAAACCCTTCGTGTATCCCCTATCTCAAAGTCGCTTTTCTACCTCAAGTTGTGCTGCTCTTCGGTCGGCCTCTCTACACTGTGCTCTCCCTCTCCTAAAAGTTGTTGGAGCTATACTAGCATATTTCTGATGAACATTGGTTTTTATTTCCACCCCCATTCTGTCTCATTTAGTCAAGGTAAGGTAGTGTACCCAAAGAGTACTCTATTGCAATTCCACACTTAATGCGAGGGTCCAAAGTGTTCAGCTAATGAAAGAATTCGCTTAGCCGATCCCGTTTCATTACATCTGCGTAACACCAGAATACCTTTGGTGAAAAGTCGAATCCGTTAAAAGCTTTCTGCTCAGTGTCTCACGTACATGTTGGCCAAAATAGGTGATATTGTTGATCCCATCATTAAAACCTGTTTGATTGGTGTTGTTCTTTAGGGTTGATTTTCGAGGAACTGGATTCGTCACAGCCCCCAAGTGTTGGAAAAAGACTCACTGATAAGTCTCAGTAGGTTTAGGGCATTCAAGAATAAGTTTCATGAATCCGGTCATCGTTACGAATTTTAATTTGCAACTCTCTTGTTTGTTATTCAGTCAACGTAACTTAGTGTACCCAAAGGGGCATCTAGCGCCATGTTAGCATAATGTGAGGGTCCAAAGTGTTCAGATATTCAAGGAATTCGCTGAGCCGGTCCCGTTACTTTACACATGTTTAACGCCAGGAAACCCTTGATGAACACCCAAATACGTTTAAAGCTTTCTTCTCAAAGTTTCCGATGTACATATTTGCCCAAATCGGGGATATTGGTGATCCCATCACGAAAGCGTGTTCTTTAGTGTATGTACTTGATTGGTGTGGTTCTTCCGGATTGATTTCGGGGAATTGATTTCGCCACAGTGCCCAAGTGTTGGAACAAGACTGACCGAAAAGAAACACAACGAACAAGGAGCATCGCGCACTCTTGAATTGAATTGAATCGATGCTTTCGGATCGGCGTTTGTTGGACACTCATCATCGTATGAGTTTGCTTGACTGACTGGGTGCTTGACTCAGCGCCCAATCGGGTGGTTTTAAAGTCTCAGTAGGTTTGGTGCATCGTTACACCGGATTTCTCTAGTGTTCGTCGCACCTGAAAGTAAGTGAGTGAAGTGGGTCAGTCATACTGAAAATAAAGAATCCGAATTCTCCAGACCCCTTAAGCATACGCGCAGGACATTTGTCGCGGTCATCGATCTGGATTTGCCATTCCGCCGTAAGCATGTATGCCACCAGCAGCAGTCCCAGGGGTCGGCGGAAGAATCAGTGAATTCGTCCTGGTTGTCGACGAGTTCAACTTTTGCACAAATCTATGAAAACCAAATTCTTATTGAAAAAAAATTCGATACGATTCATATCCAGACGCCCACACACCAAAGAGTCTATCATGTTCAGGTGAGCCATCCGAAACTTAAAGGGTGTTTTCATCAATACAAAGACCACTATTGGGGCATCAATACTAATTTCAGCTTTTATGGCTTTTAAGTGTCGACCATCCATTCTTGATCAAAATAATATAAAAAATCATGCTACGCACAACCCCAATTTGAAAAACGAAGAACAGAATTCACAGAAAGTGATGAAATTACAAAGCAGACTTCTACTGGTTTTATAGAGCCAATCCAATGAGTTTCATGAACTTGTACTTTTACGTAAAATAAAACCATAGGGAATTGTAAATTCCTCGGTGTAAAACTTTGCGTGACCATCAGTGTTCCTCACTTAGATCAACCAGATATGTCCGGAAGTCGACCATTTATGCAGTGAATAAATGCCGAGCTTTGAGGATTTTTCATTCTGAGTCCAATCAGTTTGTCAAGCCTTATCTTGACGCACTGCGGAAACCAATTTCCTGAATACACATTTACACTATGACCTATTAATACTAGAAACCGTATTGATGTCGCCCTCGGACAAATGTTTCCAGAAGCCAGCCGCTACGTGAAACCACTTGGCACACTCAGTTTGGTGCTCACTACAGTCTGCAGGACACAGGCGCTCAACAAAATGATCTGCATTTGTCCTAGAAAAAACCAAAAATCAACAATTTACACACATTGTTGGAATAAGTTTGTGTAAAATAATCAGTCATTGAACAAGGTGATCAGAATGATTGATCATAACCCCGATTCGCATAAACTTTGTACCGCAAACCTATTAGATTTATGATGGATAGCTTTTTCACACCATCGTCATACAGTTGTAAGGCAAAGCTCAACTCACAGGAGACGCACAGTATAAAAATCTGTGCACATGAAGCTTCAGGTAAGCCGGGATATGATGCGTCGTTCGCTTCTTCTCGCTCTCCTATTCTGCATCGACCACGTTGCATTGTTGGAAGCCATCGGTGTCCACAATTGGTCATCAACATTTAACAACAAACCGCCAAAGAAATGGGTTGTCCTGGCCACTGGTTCCAACACCTGGGAAAGTTATCGACAGCACGTATGTATCCGTTGTTTTTTTATTGATCTGGGGCTTAAAGGTTTACCTCAATCCCGCAAGAAAGGGTTTTAAAAGTGTATGTTTTCATTAGTGGCCTCCCAGCAGTTGTTTACGGCCTCGTTTCCTATATGGCGGTGACATTTCAACCTAAACGGCGGGGGATAGAAGCCGCCACTAATGGACACACTACTGAACGCACATTT